GTAAGGATAGGAAACTAGGATCCCCGGCGGACAACGTCCATGATTGGATTGGGCGTCAAATAGAATAAATTTGACCATGTGGCTTGCTTTACATGTGGAATTAATAAATTTTTGGTTTTTAAGCAGTATTATAGTCAAATGCTTTGCATGAATTTAAATGCTAACCCCCCCTCCCAATTCCATGCACACAATATCAAACTATCCTCATCCAATAGGAGAACCCTTTGCTTGCTGTGTAAAAGCTGTAACAGGTACAACAGTGGACTGTTCGCAAAAACAGTATTTTAGTTATTACTCTAACATAGCAAATCAGTAAATGAAACTATGACAGTTCCATGCACAATGATTGTGGCAACATCTTCAATGATCCTGTTAGTCTATTTTTGCCCGTGTGATAGTGCAACAAGTACATAAAGTTTTTCAAATTTGCAACTAACACAAATTTGAATAAAATCACTGTATATTTGCAAAATAACAATGGTATCAGTATTTTTTCATTACAGTCATGTCACACAAACATTGAAGTATTGAAATATCATTAAAATAATAAGAAATCAACATTGGCTTGAATACAATCTTCCTTGGAATCTTCCTTGATACTGGTTTGAATGGATCACGCGAGCTAGTTTCCTAGCTATCCCGGTTACGTATCTCTAATTGGGGTGAGCCTGAGCTCGCCCATAGATATTATAGTCTATAATATGGGCTCCTGATAATATCTATGGCTAGCTCGCCCCACCATAGCTATACTCTCATCACGCCCCGTCTGTCTGTCAGCTGCAGCATAGATTGTATTGTTACTTAGTAATACAATCTATGGCTGCAGCGCTGTACGTCCTCGTACGACGCCCCTATTTTATGCGTAAATCTAGATACTGTACATTACCAATGCAATATAAAGTCAATTTTCAATTTTTCATTGAAAGTGGGAGCGGTCACAGTAAAATTATATCTAAAGCTAAGTAAAGCATCTTTACAGACATTTATAGGCAAGAGATGTGTATGTCAAATTAGAAGACTAAAAAAAGCTATATAAAATAAATAACAATGATATAAAGTGATTTCAGTTATCAGCAGCTTTAAACTCTCATCATGTAAATCATGCTTGCTATGCCTAAATCATGATGCATGCTTTGAAATCATCGGGAGTAGATTATAGATGAATAGATCCAGTGCCATATAATTACTTTGCTAGCGTAGGCTCGCCCCTTGATGTTCTACACAGGCCCGTAGCCAGGGTTACAAAAAGGGGGTGACTTACATGAAATGGGGGTGACGAAGTATGAGTTACATGAAATGGGGGGTGACAAGTTGGACTGGATGCACATGAAATGCCACAAATACATGTTTGATGTAAGCAAACAAACAAAGGTACTAACTCAAAAGGGGGGGGTGACATGTCACCCCAATCACCCCCCCCCCCTGGCTACAGGCCTGCTACATTTGTCTAGTATCATAGATATTAGAGTATAATTTATACTCTATTATCTATGCTAATATCTATAAGTGGGGCGAGCTCAGGCTGGCTCGCCCCAATTATCTATGACTTAATTCGCCCATCACTACCGAAAATTGAACATTAAAAATTGAACATTAATAATGGCGGTTGAGCTCCAGTATTGCTTGACTGTGCCACCAGGAGATCCCCAGCAGAGGCCAGTCCGTTTCATTGGAAAGTTGAGATGCTTGAAAGATTTAAAGTGGCCGCAAATTTCGGATTATTTGTCTCCAAGAGTAGATGAGCAGGTACTCCAGCCGCTATTTTAAATTGGTTTTTATGGATGATTTTACCACAGACTTGGTCTGCTGCTTTAGAATCTGTTGAAAAGAACACCACAGTCTCCCTTTGGCTTTCTAATGCTATAGTTTCGGCTCTCCCATTTAAAGTCAGCCGTCACAACTCTCCAGGCAGGCCCCATGCTCTGAGCAGGACTGTCAATACATTAAAATTGCACGATCATCCAGAATATGCTTTTATTGTAAGAATGCCAATAACAGTATTCCTTTTTAAGATGATTGTTTTTTTTAAACATCAGATTGCATGTGAGAGGAGTGAAGCATACTCCCTTGGTTGTGCTGTGCAAGA